TGTTAGCTCAATCCTACACATTCTCCTTAATAATACTTTAAACTAACTTTGCCTATGCATTTTCTATCCTTCGATGTATATGTCCATACAAACTAAGTAGATTTTCAACTATCTTCATTGCATACCACACGATCCACACCAACAATTTTTAATGAATTTTCAAATTTATCATACAAATTTGGTTAAGCATTAATCTTAACATTCTAAGTTTTGTCCCGAACAACTCAGATAATTCAGAATCAAACTAATAACTTTATCACATATTCATCTTAGCATTCTAATATTTTTCAGGCTCAGCTTGGCTATATTTCTTTTACAACCAATAATTCAAATTCATATAATATAACTAGCCAAAAATCACATTTATAAAATTTACTATAAATGACCATAATATTCTCATATTGTACCACACTTCTAAAGCATTTCTCCATTTTAACCACCCAAACTTAAATCTAAAAGTGATTTCTTATATCACATTCTAATTACAACATATCCAGAGTTCTTAAAGCCAGTAACACCTAAATATCATTCCATCTTCTAATCATACTAACTAATAAATTTTAATATCCACCTAGTAAAATAACATTAACAAAAAATAAATTTTTATCCTTCTATCAAAGTCATTTATCTATTAAATTCTTCTAGAATTGACAAACTACTCATTTATTGCAACAAACATTTAAACAATAAGAATCATGCATATGCAAAAAATATATGCCAAGGTACCCTATTTTGAAAATAGTAAGAATCTCCATAATCAATAAAAAAATAAAACCCAATGATAATTCTTTTGTAATCCTACTACAATGGGCATATGCAAAGAAAACAGGTAGTTAGCTTGATTTTATTTTGCTTGTACTCTAAATTATTTTTGGAATCAACAAATAAGAAATTTTATAAGGATAAATCAAGAAGTGCAGAGGTGATCTCCATAAGGGCAACATACTTGAGTGTTTTTCCTAAAAGAAACCTCAAAACTAATTTGTAATGCAGAAGCTTTCAGCATTATGTGATTGAAGGGTTCTCTATGAGATCTATGTATGATAATCTACAAGCATGAACATTTGAACATGTCATTACCCTTTTACAAATGGCTTTGACAAAAGTTTATGGAGATACAGACAATATGACACAACAAAATATGGTCCAATAAAAAGGGAAAAGATGCACAGGAACATAAAGTCCATACAAGTTTTACCTATTATCATGTCCCTTTGATATGCTAAGTTCAATTATTTTGAACTTGATGTAAGGCAAGCATAAATTATCCGTTGTAACTTAGTAATTTAGTTAAACTATAATTGTTTTATTTATATACTTTATTTTAATTATCAAAAGCAATTTAGCCAATAATCTGACATTTAGAATGAGTTTCATAATAGGTTTTATCTTGAAGGATCTTCTACCATAAACATTGGGATCCTGTAAAAACAAACTATCATAAACATTGGGATCCTGTAAAAACAAACTATAATATTGAACGAAACTTAATTACTTCTTCCCCATTGATCTCCAAGTTAAGCAAGAGAATTTCTTCCTCTCAAATAGCCAAAAACTCTCCTGTTGAAACAATCTACATCAATTAGTAATAGAGCTCGAGTTCTTTAATCAAAAGAACTGTAGATCGGAAATTTTCCACTGCTGCCAGCACTACATTCAATCACTTGCAACACATCCTACACTACAGTCACACATTCACATCCTGCTTCTCAAATCATCACGTTCAATCACAATATTGCACACCAACATTTAGCACTGCCATCATAACCTGCAATTGTAACTTTGTTTGAATGTGCTTCGCTTTCAATGCGCCTCATGGGCGCATGCAAATTCACATTGTTATTGCCCACAAAGTTTTCATTAATCCCAAAGTCACTCAACCGCAAACCTGCATCCATTTCTACACACCCATTACTCAATGCAACTTTCCTAATCACATACAATCACCTCACTTCACCCGCTCTCACTCAATGAAGCACTCAACATGGCATCCTACAATCCCACCACTGCTTCACCCTCAATTCACACATCTAGACCACGAGTCCCAACTCTCTTTATATCTCTCTGTCTTTCACCCATCTTGGTTTTTCCTCCCATCTTTGCTTTAATAGTTTGTTCTACCTCACTAGCTCCACTTCCTTGTTCACTCTTTCTCCAATACTCCACCCGAGCACAATTACAGCCTCTTATGTCACTTTTCTTTGATCACTCCATCACATAATATTATTTTCATCTCGCAACACTTATGTGAGTTCTTCATAATTATTTGAATCCTCTCTCCTCCCCCAAACATAAAGGCATGTTGTAGCCACTAAATGTCTCTAATTGTCTTCATATAATGCTTGATCTCTTTGTTATTGCTTAGGGAGACAATCATAATCACTTTAGTGAGCAATTCTGCATAAAGTTGGGTATTTTCCTATCTCATGGAATTAAAATTAATAATAATAATAATTTTATTAATCTCCTTCTCCTCTTAAAATCATTTATAGTGTTTGTTATGAAATATAGCAATAATATTACAAGTTCGATATCACAGTTCATCATACATCAGTCAATTGCATGAAAGCATTCACAATAAACTTGCTTTGAACTATAACAGCTATGATATACTACACGTGAATTAGATATATTGAATTCAAAACTAAATGATAAGGTAATAATTAGTCTCAAAAACAAACTACGAAAATATCTAAAAATTTAAAATTCTAAAAAATTCTACTATAGCCCCAACTCTTAATGTATTAGACTTAATTTTATAACATGAACTAGCAACCAATGCATTAGATTCTTCTCGCATTTACACCATTTGTCTAATTTCACAACAAAAAGATAATTTGCATATTACTCTGAATGTCATAATAACCATAATTTTTGAACTATTATTGGAGATAAAATCACGTCCACTACTTATGATGAATAGTAAAATTAATTTTCATGGAGAAGAAATGTATTTTCATGTGATTATTTATGGATATTTCTAGCAAAATCCAAATATTGTGCATGAATCTATCAAAAACAAATGTAAACACTCACATTGAAGTTAAGCTTTTTCAAGTTAGGCATAATTGATAAAACCCTACTTCTCCGCTCACTCTTATGAGCAACTCTCACGCAACTCTTGGCCTTCTGGTTCATTAACTATTATAACTCTTGTCAGTGGGGCAACAAACCTTCTTCATAATTTTTTGTTTGCATTCTTTGTTATATTTAATAGCTCTTCCCTTCGAGGTTCTACAATATCGCCATTGTTCCCACACCACCTCTAAGCTCTAGGTTCTATTCCAATGTGTTTTTTTAAATTGTGGTTTTTTTTATTGGAATGTGTTGTTGAATAGCGATCTTTTTAGATTTTTCTATCACAAGTATATTGTGATTTATGACACACATCCTCCTCTACTATTAAGAGCCTATAATTTTTTATAATCAATGTAAGTTACTCTGAGCGTTGCTTTGCTTAGTAGCCAAGAATTCCAAAGGAAGCTTTCAATTATAAATGGGGGCTTATTAAGGCTTTTACAAAAATCCAATGTTCTAAATACAATTCCCGTTGAATGCATTATTCCTTACACTTCTAATAATCAAATTCTTGACCAAGTGCATGATTTGAACATTTATGGGGGAAGTTATCTCCTTGCAACTGCATTAACCTTGATTTCTTAATTTTTGGCGACTTATTTACTTTTACTTGGATGTGACTGATTTTACTTAAATTTGATACAAGTTGGGTTTCAACGAGCGTGTATTTCAAGTATTAAAAGGCTTTTTCAACTGTAAATTTATATTCATTACGTCGTATGAATTGATTGCTTTCCAATTTTTGGGTTTTGTCAAAGTAGGAGTGGTCATCAAAACTATAAGTTTTTTACTTGCTAATTCTTTTACGCTTGTTGCAAGTTTTTCGTATTTCATAATATAAAATCATTACGAATGGTTAAACATAAGATGGCCTACATCAATAAATTTTATATTAATCTAATTAAGGAAAATAAATATATAAATAAAGCTAAGCAATTTAATACCATCGTAATGCTAGGTTTGCCTGATCCTGAAAAAAAAAACTAGGAGTCAAGAATCACTGTTCCTAAACTATGTTGTTCACAGTCACATTACACAAGAACATGTCAATCCATGAACTATTAGCCAACAAAATACAATTTATAGGGAGATGACCAAGCCTTGACCATGAATAAATAAAAATTGACACCACCGTAGAAGTATAAACCTGAAAGATCAAGCATCGAAGCTTGCTAACTATAATGTTAATTCAGAAAGAAAGATAACACAATTGGCAGGCTAAGCAGGGATGCTTAGA